TGGAGGGCGCGGTACAGACCTGCCCACCTGAGAACCGCAGGGCCCTGGGCCACGAGCCCTGTGAGGCAGGAGAGGGATGGAGCCGATCAGGGCAACAGCCCAGCCTCCTATCTGTCCACGGCCGTCTGTCGGCCCCGTGCAGACGAGCACGGTGCCCTCCGTGTGGGCCAGAAGCTCCTCAACACGATTACGGCCCCTCTCTCCCCATCTCTCCCCATCTCTCTGTCTGTGTCTGTCTATGTCTCTCTCACACACACACAGGTGTGTGCACTTGTGTGTATGCACATGCATACATGCATGCACACATGCACAGCACATGTACACGTGTACCCATGTTTGCATGCACACACACCCTTACACATAGGTGCACACAAATACACACCACACATGCGCCCATGCACACACACTCATCCCTGTGCACACACACAGCCCGCATTACTTGTGTACCCACACCCACAAACACACAGACACACTGTCGTTGATCCCTGCAGATTAATTTGCATTCCACGTGACCGCGGGCGCACACGGTGAGGGCCTCCAGGGCCAGGAAGGGAGGCGGACTCCAGCGGAGCTTAGGAGGAGCTTCCTCTTTTCAAAGCTTTGATCCATTTTCCTTATTTTGAGTCCGTTTCAGACAAAATCCTCCAGAAACCCCCGCCTTATTAAATTTCAACGTCCCTGTCCCCTCTGGGTGGTGGCGGCAATATGCCAAGGGAAGAAGGCCCAGGGGCAGGACAAGCCAGCATGGGTCTCCGGACACCGGGCTGTGTCTCGGGGACATGCACGCATGCATCCTGTAGAGGAACCAGCTCTTCAAGGTCTCCCTGGGTTTCCACGTCCAGAACCTCCTCCAGAAGGGGCCTGTGTGTGCTCAGCATGATATGCCCAGTGAGCCCAGCATCGCGGGGGACCAGGCTGCCACTCCTCCGGGCTCACAGAGTGTGAATCAGGACCCGGAGTCCGTCGCAATCTGTCCGAGTCTGCTGTGCCTGTCTGGTAATCCTCCGTGCGACACGGCGGGTGGCCGGCTCCCCGGAACCACCCCAACCGGTCAGGGAAGGTGACGTGGTCCGTGCTGAGGGGGACCGTATGCGGCTTCCTCGCTGCAGGGTCTGATCCATCCTGACGGCAACATCGGTGCCTGGGAGTCTGGCACTGTCTCTGCCCCTGGAGGGGAGGTGACTCTGCCCACCCCTGCTCCTGCAGCTGCCATCCCCCCGCCAGGGCGTCCAGCCTCCGAGGCCGCTCCCGAAGGGCTCTCGGGCCCCCATGGGCCCGGCCCCGAGGCTGCTGGGGAGGCCCCCTCAGGGGCGTTCAGCCCCGCGGACGACGTCCAGGTTGGTGGCGTCACCGCAGAGCTGCTGGGACGGGAGGCCCAGTCAGGCCTGCGGAGCTGCCGGTGCGGCCGAGGAGCTGTGTGCCGGGTTCCCACGGGCGACCGACAGGTGGGGCCCCTGCCGGAGCTGCTGACGGGCAGCAGGTCACCGACAGCTGCCACGGTGCAGGTCTCATGCCCAGCGGGGCCACCTGACACCACTTCACGTCCTGGAAGGGACATTTGCAACCTTGAGGAAAACGTCGCCGCAGCTCAGGCGGGGGTGGCGTCACCCGGCCTGTAGGTGCCCACAGCAGGCTGGTGGCGGAGCCGGGCCCAGGGCCCAGTCTGGTTCTGCGTGCAGCCGGGGGCCGCAGTCCCACCTTCTCTGACCCCGTGAGCCACGGGGAAGGCGGTCCCAGCACAGACGTGTCCCGTTCACGGCGGGGCCTCCCCTCCGCACACACACACACACACACACGGGTGTCTCAGTCCTGCACCCCTGGTCCCCCGGGCCCTCTGGCCTGACCTGCGTCTGGTGGGACGAGTCAGGAGGGCGAGCGGGCGCAGCGGGAGGTCCCCGTGCCGGCAGCAGCTCCCTCCCACGGCCCATCCCCAGCCCACCCTCAGGCAAAAGGAGGTAAGTCCTGGCCAGCGCCCCTGGGCCTACAGCGCCCTGGGGCTTGAGTGTGAGGCCCCGGCCCCGCCCCCGTGAGCTGTCCTGGAGGCCGTCACTCCCCCAGGCACCGACCACCACATGTCTCCTGCGTGCTTCCAGAACTCTATCTGAGGCGCGCCCCATCTCGTCCCCTTTCCTTGATGACAGTTTGGACACCAGGTCCTAGACGGTGAAAGGGTTTGCCCAGCATCACAAAGCAGGACAGTGACAGGGCTGCCCCACGCTCACCGTGATTTTAGGGCCTTGCTCGTTCAAGTGCCCACCTTGCACGTCGCTGAGTGTCCTGTGTGTGTATGTGCTTGTGGGTCCCCTGTGTGTGCAAGTGCATGTGTGTGAGTGCATACATTCGTGTGTGCACCTGCATGTATGTGTGCGTGTGGGATGTATTTGTGTGTGCACCTGTGCGCGTATGTACATGCACGTGTGTTTGTGTGTGCACCTGTGTGTCCACGTGTTTGTGTGTGCACTTGTGTGTTTGCATGTCAATAGGTTTGTGTGTGTATGTGTGTGGGGGGGATGTGTTTGTGTGTGCACCTGTGCGTGTATGTGTGTGCATGCACGTGTGTTTGTGTGTGCACCTGTGCATATGTGTGCATGTGTTTACATGTGTTTGTGTGTGCACCTGTGTGTATGTGTTCACGTGTGGGCATGGGTTTGTGTGTGCACCTGTGTGTGTGTGTGTGCGTGGGCATGTGATTGTGTGCTCATGTGTATGTGTGAATTAGAGGGGCCAGGCTTGTCCAGGATCAGGAATTCTGGGCCCAGAATAGGGGGTGTGTCGGGGCGGGCGCCCCACCGGCTGAGAAGTGGGGGCCGGCCTCCATCGCGCCCCCAGGATGCCTTTGTAACCAAGACAAGCCACCTCGTTCCCGCCCCCCGATCCTCAGCAGAAGCCACCGGGGGCGGGAGGGAGCGGTGTCCTTCCATCATCTTAGGTACAGTGAACGAGGCCCGGAGAGCCCGGGGCCGAGGTCACCCCGCCGGCGGAGTCGGGAACGAGGAACAGAACCGGGGCACTGCTTGCCCGTGCCCTGTGCTGCCCCAGGAGCTGCTGATTTTCCGGGACACGCAGTCCACGTGGCGGGCTACCTGGGGCCGCAGCTCCCTCGGGCGCGCAGTGAGGGGCAGAGCGGCGCTCTCCGCCTTCTCTTCCGGATCAAAGCGGGTTGCAGAGCTGACCCGAAGCTATCTAAGGTGACAGGCTAGTCCCCCTGACACGGTCCTCACCACGCACGCACAGCGGCCGGCGCCCGGCTCGCTCGCTTTCCCCCACCCGCCAGCGAGTCCAGCCACGCGGCTCACAGGACAGGCCGTCACCTCAGCCTCACCTCCAACACGGCTGTGTCCGGACACGAGTGTCCCCGGGCTTTCCTCCCCCTGCCCCCCGTGCGGTGAAGCCCCAGCTGCAGACTCGGGGGCGTCAGGGAAGGAGGCTCCTGCCTGCCCCACCGCGCAGGGTTCCCAGGGCGAGAGGGCAGCTAACCGCCCAGGGCCGACTCGTCCACCCGCGGCCACAGCACCGCGCCGCGCGCGCACCCAACTCACCCCCGGGGCGCAGCCTGGCAGAACGTTCCGGCAGAACGCAGGAGGGAAGAGAGAGAAGCGCAAGGAGAGACGGAAGAGGGAAGGTCAAGGTGAGTCCCCGAGGTGATGCAGAGCCCGTAAGAGGAGCCACAAGCCAAAGCGAGCTCGATAAAGACCTCAGGGCAAGGCCTTCTCCGAACGAAGCATCCTTTTTATCATAAGCTGATGTAACACACTTCACTTCCTGATTTCAGACGTTCAAGCTTCTCTCCCAGAAAGCTGTTCCCGAGGCCAGGCTCGGCCCGCGGGGCCTTGCGCACGGCCACACGGCCGGAGAAGCCCCCACCGCCCGGGCCCTGAGCGCTGCTCCCGAAGCCTGGGCCGTGCAGACAGCAGGACCCGGGGCCGTGTGGACAGGAGACCGACCGGGCTGTCGTCCCCGGGGCCCACCCAGGCACCGAGCCAGGGACACCACGCCTCCGGGCGCAGCCAGCCAGGAGCCTTGCTGTGTAGACGGGCAGGGGCAGATAGGGCCTCCCAACACGCCACACCCAGTCCACACCAGGGTCACGGGAGCACAGGTGAGCCGCACCCACACCACACATACACACACTCCCTGCACACACGTGCCACATGCGCCACGTGCACACACTCGCTCCCCCACAGCAGGTGCACTTAGGTGCCCGCCTCCCCCGTGCCCACAGCTGCCAGTCTGACGTCTCTCCTCCCTCCTGCGGCCGAGGCCCAGCGCCCGTGGGAACTGAGGAGGCAGGGAAGGCAGATAAAAGGGCCACTTAGCTGAGACAGAAGCCAGTCGCCCTTGGACACAGAGCACCCGGTGCTGCCTCTGGCCAGAGCTGGGGTGCAGCCGGGGCCTGGCGGGAAGGAGGGGAAGGGGGACCTGGGGAGAGCCAGCCTGGGGGAGAATAACGGGGATGCCTGGAGGGGCTGGGGAGCCAGGAGGGGTCCTGGGACCACCACCCAGGGCTCAGCATGGCGCTCATAGGCCTGGCCAGGTAGGGGGGCCCCGGCCCTCCCCCCAGAGCCGCCCCTGAAGAACACTGGGCTGCATGTGCTCGGGACAAGCCAGTACCTAGGTTGTCCAGGGCAGCACAGTAGGCCGCTGGCGGCCCTGAGCCCGGCCCCTCCCCGGGACACCGTACTGAGCCCGCGCCTGCCCGCAGCTGCGCCCCTACCTGGGGTCTGCAGGGCCCTGAAAGCTTCTTCCTCCACCATGCCCCCCACGAGGTTCCTTCTAAGGGGCCCACTTGCTTGCTGTTTTACTGGTATTTATTTCCTTGCTTGCTTTCGCTTTGTATTTTTAGACGAGTTTTATGCACAAGAAAACTTTAGATTCAAAACGGTACAGAGATGCCCACACACGTGTCGGCACACAGCCACAGCCACCCCGCCCTCGGCACCCCGGCAGAGGGACCGCAGCTGCAGTGGGCGAGCCCACCCCAGAACCACTCTCGGCGCTGGCCCCCCGCAGGGCTTTGAGCAGGTGCGACGACGTGTCCACCGTCCTCTCCGTCCCTGTCCCTCTTCTTTCTTGTCAAGTTGTTAGTTCCCTGCCTTGCACTGCGGCCCCCCCGCCCCCCGCCAGCCGTCAGGAGACCCCCCAGCCCTCAGGCTCACGCCGCTGGCACCTGCGCGGCCTGCTTTCCCTCCACTCACCCTCAAGGTGTCGATCGGGAAAATCGCGTCCGAAACTGGGGTGCCCGAGAGCGAACAGACGCACAGGCCTCTCAGCAACGACTCTGGCACGCCGGCCGTAAGTTAGGCCTGCGTCACCGCTCCCCGCACCTCCGTACCTGCGCACACACACCTGCGCACACACACGTGCCCGCCCCACGCCCTTCCCTCGCCCAGCCTGCAGCGCGGTGGGGGCGCTGCCTGGTCCCGGGGTGGGAGCCCGTCCCGGGCACTAAGATTAGACCTGGTGCCGGTGCTCACGGCGGCTGCGGAGGCGAGTGGAGGGACCCCGGTCCACGCGGTCCTCACCGGCCCCTGTGTTCGCACCCCCCGCCCCCCCGCCTCCTGAGGGGCCCCTGGGTCCTTGTCGGTGCCTGTTGACAGGATTGTTCCTCCAATTCCCCCTGATAGTGTCTTAGCCCACACGTCTCGGAATCCCGTAGCGCACCCTGAGGGGCGCGGGGGTCGTGCCCGTCCCCACTGGAAGCCACGGAGTCCCGTGGTCAGCCACACGTGGGGCAGCACCTGCGGTGACCCCGACCCGGCAGCCTGACACTTGCTGTTCCTGCAACCCTCCACACCCCTACCTGAGCCCCCATACCCTCCCAGCACCCCTGCGCTCTCCTGTAACTCCTCCGCACCCCTACCTGAGCCCCCAGACCCTCCCAGCACCCCTGCGCTCTCCTGTAACTCCTCCGCACCCCTACCTGAGCCCCCAGACCCTCCCA